AAACCACGCCGGAAAATCTGGATGAACTTTCTCGGCCAATGCAGGGATCGAAGAAGTCGAGTGTATCACATATATAACTCTTGTTGGTTTGTGTTTGTTGTTGCTGATTTGTTTGTCCAATAATTTTTTTTTTTTTTCTAAACAATATTTATTCACAGAAACTCAATGGGAGAACAGGCAGAGGCCTATAAACCCCCCTCTCCATAAAAGTACAAACATAAATATATAATGAAAAGTAAAGTAAAGTAAAGTATACAGGTCAAAATTCGCAGGAATACAATTACTGCTTTTTACTGAGCGACATTTCGACTAGGCTTCTCTAGTCATTATCAAGCTATGATAATGACTAGAGAAGCCTAGTCGAAACGTCGCTCAGTAAAAAGCAGTTTAATTGTATTCCATAGAATTGTGACCTGTATACTCTAGTTCAATTACTAAATGCCATTGAAACAGTTTAAAGTAAAGTATTATAAGATGGCTATATACACTATACACATTATATGTACAAACCACAATCAGAATGTTTATATTTCATACATTTTCATACGGAATTTTCAAAATCTTTTTGAGATGTCGAGGAAGTTATATATTGCCGAAAAGATTTCTTCAGAATTGTTTCTGTCTTCAGTTCCGAATAATAAATTTTGAGAATTTTGATAGAGTTTTGTGAGTTTCGATATTGTCGCAGATCGTGCGTTTGTCCAATGATGCTCACTACTGTAGGCTCCCACTGTCATGCTATGCGTTACGATAGGGAGAGAGAGAGAGAGAGAAATGGGGTTTAACGTCCACTCGACACAAACTAGGTCATTTCGGGACTAACACATGGTTCAACAATTTTATTTCAATAATTTCAATAATTCGCTTGCGCGTAGGGGTCTTTAGCAGTGGGAGGAAACCGAAGGACTCGGAGAAAACCCACGATGTTGGACAGGCGACCCTACTCCTTGCAACGTACAACCGGGGAATCGAAACCCGCCAGTTGACTAAATGACAGCTAGACCGTATGATACAGCGCGCGCGTGCTAATCATTCGAACCCCCCCCCCCCCCCCGCCGTTACGATAGGATTGTTCACGATCTGCTACGTGCAGATATGTTCGGATATGTTTCGTTACGATCAACAAAATTGCTACGACTGACCTCAATATGTGATAAGACCTTTAATGGGATTATTATTATTACTCCATGATTAAAACCACGATTTCAATAGTAGCGCGAATAGTGATAGTAGGAACCTATAGCATTAAACAGTCAAGATGTGTCCACGTGTCTTATCATCAGTTACACCTTGACCCTTGACCCCTGTAAGTTATTGCTATTGTTTATATAAAGTATTATTACCTTATTAGGCATCTGATATACGTCATATTAATCATCATATCAATATAATCAACGGTCGATATCTTCCTTCAACAATAGCCATCTCCTAATGTCAATTAATCCGATGGTCCAATAGTCCAATGGCTAATTAATCGCAAGATTCAAGTTCAAACTCTATATTCCTTTAGGTCAAAGACACGCATGTACGTGCAAAAAAATACACACTACAGAATGAAACATATCTACGTAACATACAAGGAGATTATTGTGCATGTCGCGAAGGAGTAGGGTCGCCTGTATAACCGCGTGGGTTCTCTCTCTCTCTCTTTTACACACCCACAGTTGTACAGTAAACTTCAATCAAGTATGTGTGTGTGTTTTTTACGTGCCTTATACTGCACAAAACAAAAATGAAATGGAGTTTATAACGTCCTACTGTTCTGCCCCTACTATGGGCTAATGAAGACGGGCAATTAACGTCATATTGTGTTTATGTGGGAAATTATGCCCGGACAGCGGCACTACGGCCTACTCTTATATCGAATTCCAACTGTCAAGGGATCTTTTCCGTGCACGCCCATGTGTACACGGTACCACGGTTTTTCGTCCCATCTGAACGACTAGACAGCTGTCATTGTCAGGCTCTCCGTCCTACATCACTGACAAGGGGGAACCACGCCGGAAAATCAAGATGAACTTTTTCGGCCTATGCAGGGATCGAACACCCGACCTTCAGACATGCATCAGAAATGCATCAGAAATACAGCTTGGTGTACAATATGTAGATCATCGACCAGCTGGATAATCAACAATCATCAACATGCATAGTTTTATCAAACTATTGTAGGTCATAAACACGCACTTATTGTTTCATATAAACTCGGGCTAACTTTACAATGTCAAGGTCTGGCTAGCTGGAGCTGCGGTCGCTCAGTGAGTTATAGTAGGCTATGACCCACTCGGCAAACCTCAACAGATTCCAGTACCCTACATCTAATCTCGGCTGTATGACAAAGTCCGCCATTAGAACTACTTTCAAGTTCCCGGATTACAATGGCGTTGTCCATGACGACAATGACGTGATTGATGACGACTATTTGAAGAATGTTTTATCTTACAAAATTTTCAAAGTTTTAAGCTGTTTTTCTTTCAAGTTTATCCGATTTTCTTTAGACAAGGACAAATTTGCACTGAAAATTCTACACACTCTTCGAACGACACAATTATGAGAATTTCTTTCTAAACGCGGGCAAGTTTCCCTTATAAGTAACTGTCATACAGCCGAGGCTAGATGAGGTTTGCCGAGTGGGCTATGACCCTGACTCACGAACCAGGAGATCCTACGAGATTTTCCAGCATGACGGATGATCTGGCAAGGAACGGTGTCAAATCGTACGGATGGGACGAAAATCATAGGTCCCGCGTACATGTCTACATGCACATAAAAGGACCCTTGACAGCTGGAATTCGAAATAAGAGTAGGCCGTAGCGCCGCTGTCCGAACAAAAGAGAGAGAGAAATGGGGTTTAACGTCCACTTGACACAGACTAGGTCATTTCGAGACTAACATATGGTTTAATTTTATTTTCAATAATTCGCTTGCGCGTAGGGGTCTTTAGCAGTGGGAGGAAACTGGAGGACTCGGAGAAAACCCACGTACGAGGCTGTCCGAGCAAACTGCCCCCCATAGTCCATTATAGCATGGCATCAGGCCGACTTCATTAGTCCAATCAGCACAGAAAAGAAAACCCTATTGCATATCATTTTATAAAAGTGCTGCTCAGCATATTTTTATTTCAATGGTTTATTTGATAAACTATTTATTGTGATCTGTCTTGAAACAGGTTTAATAATTTAAAGGAGCTAAATCACTAATATTTGCGACCTAGAGATATTGACACAAATGTGTAGCAACGCGTATAATAATGTAATATGAATGTATATAATATCCGTTTTTACTCTAATTTCAAATCACTTATGTTCGGCGAAATACGCCAGAAGTCTCAATCGAATGACAACCTCTAGCGTCTGGTTATTCGGGTCTACACCGACAGTATTTATTGCGCATGCTCTCCAGATTAGCATGTGACGTCACTGTTTGAATGACTTGTGGAATATGGCTAGCCTCGTTCTTCGAGTCCCTTGCTACAAATGGTGCTGAAACTCATTATGGTAACTGATTCGTACCAATTGTAAAATGTTTATTTTGTCTTAAATATTGGATATCAGAAGCCCATCTTTCCCGTTAAGATCACAACATCAATGTTGATTTAAATTGACAAATATTTCGTGTTTTCAATGTCGAAGACTTTGGATGATTTTGTGTTAGAGACTTAGCTACTTTAAGCACAAAGTCCTATGTCTGATAAGCTGTATCTTGCGGTCTGTCTGGAAAAAAAAATGTGTTTACAATCTAAATAACGTCCTGATAAAAATGATTCAGCAGTAAATTAAGTATTGACGAATAATCAATTGGTGGTTATTGTCATTAGAGAGTCACGAGATAACGTCATGTCAGTGTTTTTAATGAAGTATTATCTTACGAAATAAACAACACGTCTAATTTATCTATGTTATATTATCACTTTCATTGACCTGGGTGGATCTATTTGGGAAAAATCCCCCCTATACTGAAGGGTGAATGCCCGTCTTCATAACAGCCCGATCGGGGTAGAAAAGTACTGTTAGGTAGGGAGTATAGTTGCCATTTATAAAATTAGACGCCCGCGAATGTGTTTTCCTGCCCTAAAACCAAAGTGGCGGTACTTATCGATTATTATACTAATTTTAAAGAAATTACGATTCTGTAAAAATTTGATGCCCGAACAATTGCATACAAATTCCCCGTATTCAATTAAAAGAAAGTAAAATTCGTGCTTTATTGTCTTATCACACGAAAGGCATCGAAATACGGGCAATTTATTTTGCCGACTAGAATATTTTTTTTTTTTTTTTCTCTCTCTCTTCTGCACATTACGTAGGTCTACACCAAATATCCGATTGTCCAAAGGCCAAAAGTAATTAAGGGATCGACAGCACTATAGGCCTGCCACTATATAGATAATTTAACAGTTTCACTGTCTCCAAGATCAGCAGAGGTAGAAGCATCTTCAATAGAAGGCTGGATCTCGCTTTAACTACGTACATGTTATCAGATGTTGTAAAACTCACAGTCGTTGCTCCAGGAACATGAGAGGGAAGCGGACGTGGATTAATTAAGCTATATTGATACACGTTTCTATAGTCTGCCCGATTTTAATTAAGTTTCAATTAGCACCAGACCCTGCAATCGATCACCACTGCATGACAACATATCCCTTTTATTTATAATAAAAAGTGTTTATCAAGCTTCAATTGCAATTAATGCCCCATTATTTGTAAATTATTATTATTTGCTTCACCGGGTTGTTCTATTAAACGAATTACGCGATTTCAATATTAAAAATAGGGCCTACGAATCTTTATCGACTTGCTTTGCTCGGCGTAACATTTAGGTTTTAAAATCATAGAGGAAATCAACAAAACATTCAAGTAGAGCTGCCCTATATGGCACTGTGAGTTTAGGTTGTACTTGTTTAGAATGTTCACAATACTCTGTAAACGGTCGTCTTCACTTCCGGTTAGTTACTCCTGTGCTGAATGTTGATTAAATTATGTAAATCAAGTACATCCGTTTGTTGTTATTTATTACACGTGTTGATGTAATTCTGGAACCTGTTAGCGTAAGAATAATTGGAGATAGTTTAATCATTAAAAATGGCTGAAACGAAAAAACCTCTGTTTAGGGATATAACAGCGGAAGATGACGATCCAGAAATCACAGAAATTGAAAGTTTGTGTGTGAACTGTGAAGAACAGGGTGTCACGAGATTATTTTTGACAAGAATTCCGTTCTTTCAAGAAGTCATCGTTTCTTCATTCAACTGTGACCACTGTAATTATAAAAATGCCGAACTTCAACCTGGAGCCAAAATACAAGATTATGGTGTCAGCTACACAGTTAAAATCAAAACTCCAAATGATTTGAATCGACAAGTTGTACAATCAAGTTATGCAACTGTCAAGATACCAGAATTAGAATTTGAAGTTCCACCCAATAAAGGTGTCTTGACAACAGTGGAAGGCATCATAGACCGAGCTGTCACTGGTCTTCTTCAAGATCAAGTACTGAGAAAAATCCAGCACCCCGAAGCAGCGGCTAAAATTGAGGAATTTACGAAAAAGTTGGAGAAATTGAAAGAGCTAGACGAACCTTTCACGTTGATTGTTGAAGATCCGACAGGTAACAGTTTCGTTGAAAATCTACATGTACCAAACAAAGATCCTGATATGAAAATCAATCGATACAAACGCAGTGCGGCTCAGAATGAAGAGCTCGGAATGATGGAAGGTTCTGACGTGGATGGGCCGAACACGGAGACAGTGGAAAAAGATGAAATCATTCAGTTGCCATCAAACTGTCCAAATTGTAACTCCCCTTGCACCATTAACATGAAGATGGTAGACATTCCAAATTTTAAAGAAGTGGTGATTATGGCGTGTAATTGCGACGCTTGCGGATATCGTGATAATGAGGTGAAGGGGGCGAGCGGAATGCAGGAGAAGGGCGTGAGGATAACTCTACATATAACAGATAAATCAGACCTTAGTCGAGACTTGTTAAAAACTGAAACCAGCTCTATCAGTATCCCTGAACTCGAGCTCGAATCACAGATGGGAACATTGGGGGGTAAATTTACTACAGTTGAAGGTATTCTAATTAACATCCGTGATCAACTAGGGGCCAATCCTTTCATGGTCGGCGACAGCTCAACTGGTAATAAAGTCAAAAAATTTTGTGATGATGTAGACGAGATTATCCAGGGAAATAGATTAAACGTTCATTTAATCCTTGATGATCCAGCCGGAAATAGTTATCTTCAGAATGTTTATGCTCCTGAAGACGACCCAGAAATGAAAGTGGAACATTATGAGCGAACATTTGAACAGAACGAGGAGTTAGGTTTGAACGATATGAAAACAGAAAATTATGATTAGCGTTATTGTAGGCCTACGTGTATAGGCATGCCTTAAAGATGCATTATGTAAGAGCTAAATCTTCTTATTGCAATTTTTATTTTGGCTTCAAATGTTATAAAAACTATTATTTCTGTAGACATTTATTCACATGACTAGCCTATAATCAACTCCCAAGGCTATCAGATGGCATAGATTTTAAACGGATTGAAATACGATCACAATTTAATGATTTAATTCAAACAGTGGTAACATCGCTCAGAATAAAGTAATTTGAATGAAATTTTTAATATATTAATTTTGAATTATCTATTTTGGAACTATAAAAGCAAGAACGCCAGCTCTTTCGTGATCTTAATCTTACATAATGTATCTTTAAAGACAGAGTTACAATATATGCTATGTTGAATGGAACAATAAGGTTTTTAGCGTAAATAAATTGATTCATGTTAAGAAGATTCAACTCATGTCAACCACTGTTGTTTATTTATAAATATAAATTATATTTACCATAATTTAATGTGTCTTGTTTTCTGTCCGTATTCATGGAGAGAGAGAGAAATGGGGTTTAACGTTACTCGTTCACTTGACACAAACAAGGTCATTTTGGGACTAACATATGTTTCAATTTTATTTCAATAATTCGCTTGTGCATAGGGGTCATCTGTGGGAGGAAACCGGAGGACTCCGAGAAAACCCACGAGGTTGGACCGTATTCATGGAAATTATAGATGGATGTCCATATCATACTAGAGACTTGTTGAAGGAGGTAGACTTCCTTGATTTAGCAATGAAATGGCTTTAACCAATGTCTCCTACTTACTCTTCTAAACCTGTCAGGAAGGAAAACTGTGGGCATGGACAGGTGATTCTTCTACAGGTCAAGCATCAGACTGGGATCAATCACATGATACTTACATGGATGATCTGAAGCATGTGATAGATTCAATCCAAATCCCCTTGATGATCTACAGTGTGTGTGTTACGACTCAAAACCCAGTCATTGTTTAAGGTGAGGGGGGTTTATTATCATTTATTAAACCAGGAATGACCCCTAACATGCAGTTATTAATCTTAGAACCATTTCCCATACACACAACTAATCACTCTCCTTAATATCAGATCACTCTCCTTAATTTCTAAATCACTCTCCTTAATTTCTAAATCACTCTCCTTAATTTCTAAATCATTCTTCTTATCAAAACTGGGAGAGCTTTTTTAGGGGAACGATTTTTTTCAATTTGTTGATTAACGGGAGCTTTTTTCGGCTTTTCTCTAAAATACAAACAACAACAACTGAAAATCCCTTGATTTGATAGACCCAAACCCTTGATGATTTGATGATCTAAAGCGCTTGGCCCAACCCAACGCTCTTGATGATGGACAGTGCTTGCCTCAACCCAACCCAACCCCCTTGATCTACAATGTTTGTATTAAAACATATGACACTCTTCTTTCTTCAAAATGAAATGAAATGAATTTGGGTTTAACGTCCTACTGTTCTGCTCCTAACCTGGGCTAATGAAGACGGACCACATATGCCATACAGTGTGCTATAAGGGAAATTTTGCCTGGGCAGGGGCGCTACGGCCTACTCTTATATCGAATTCCAAATGCCAAGGGATCTTTTACGTGCACGGCAATGTGTACACGGGACCTCGGTTTTTCGTCCCATCCGAACGACTAGACAGCTGTCCTTGTCAGGCCCTCCGTCCTGCATCACGCCGGAAAATCAGGATGAACTTTCTCGGCCAATGCAGGGACCTCCAGCCTAGCGAGCCAGCGTCTTACCCACTTAGCCACGTGATCCCCCACTCTTCTTTCTTCACCACCCCTCTTACATGTAAAACTTGGGAACACAAACAAGCTTTGTATATATGTTTTTATTGTCTGAATTTGACATTGATCTAAAGACATGAACAATAATCTTCAATCATATTAAAAGATGCATTATGTAAGCGATAAATCTGCCTCTTGCAGGTCTTTCTTTACCTTATTAGACATTAATTTATTAACATGACAAGCCTATAATTAACTCTTTAGATGATCGCCATTTAATTATTAAATTAATGATTTAATTTTAAAATGGAAAAGTGCTAAAAAAAACCACAATCAAAACTTCTAACACTGATAATGTCACTCAAAGTATAATTTGAATGAGATTTTTAATATATTAATTAATTTTGAATTATCTATTCTGGAACTATTATAGCAAGAACGACCAGCTCTTTATCTAAATCTTACATAATGTATCTTTTAGTTATTTAGATTTTTTCAAATATTGATTTATAGAATTTTCTTTGATAATTTTCTAATTTTAGCGTATTGATAAAAAATGTAATTCTTCGAACATGTTTTGTAGATTTCGCGCTTAATGAATTGACATTATTAGATACATGATTATATATTTTATTTGACATAAAAAGATTATTTACAATGAAACAATTTTACTAATAGTCCAATTAAAAAAAAAAAATATATATATAGAGAATTAAATATTTAGGCTATAGCTGTAGCAAGGACTTCGGACACATTAGGATCTGTTGATCGGACTGTCAGTTGCATCGTCACACCACTGTCGTCAGTCAGTGCCAACTTGGCTCGTACAAGTGCATCATGTCCGCCACGGAAAACTCCGGCAAGATAAAGGGTATGCGATGATTTCCCGTCAGGAACTTTGTCGGACCTTTCGCACGGCTGCATTCCGAGATACTGGATGATATTCTTAACAGCTTCTGTAGAGTTAAAAAAAAAAAACAACATTTGTTATTTTAATCAACATTTGTACAATCTTTAGTTCGTTCATTTTTGATTTCTCAACATTATCAAGTGAAAACGCAATCTATTTTAAAGAAACAAATCAACATTGAGGCTGTCGTTTCCCACCTCAATAAGTAAATGACAATCATTAATTATTTGCTCATTTATCTTATCATAAAGTAATGAGCAATCAAACTGCTTACCACTCTGCCTAAACGTCAACAGAAAGTGCTCCGGATTAAATTTAGTCAAAGTATTGATGTAATGAAACTATATACCAAGTTTCATCACTCTCATTGAATTAGAATCAGAGTTATGGTGTTCCATGACAAATGACCCCCCCCCCCCCCCCTTAGACTAATGGGGGAAATACTGATCATCTAATTCAGTCAAGACATTCACCTAATGAACATTTTACCCCATTTAGAAGCAGAGATAGTGAGTTCCAAAACTATGATGGACAGATAGACCCATTTTAATAGTCCAGTGCTTTCCTTGAAAAGGGGGGGGGGGGAGAGACAATAACTGATACACGGTTACTTAACACCTCAACATTGTCATCGATATACATATAACTTCTGACATTGACAAACAGAAGAATTTAGGCTTTTAATGACATACAGGTAGACTGACTGATATAGAGTAGGCTATCAAGGCATCATGAAAACAAATTCAATAATTGTTATCCATATTGTCAAGTATCGTTTCGCAAGTGCCTGTCCTTTGTCTAACACATTTTTTTTTTTTTCATTTTCATTCCTTGATATTTTTAATAACTGTACCAAACATATTTGAAAATGTCAGATTCTAGTTCATTTCTCTGTGACAGAAAAAAGAAATGAAATCTTTTATTATTTGTGGGAGAGAGGGAGTTTAATGTCCAAACGACACAAAGTAGGTCATTTCGGGAATAACATATAGTTCAAGTTCATTTCACTAATTCATTTGTGTGTAGAGGTCTTTAGCAGTGGGAGTAAACCGGAGGACCCAGAGAAAACCCACAAGGCTGGACAGGCGACCCTACTCCTTGTCACGTACAAGCAGGCAATGAACAGTTGTCACAGATTTTGTCAAGTACAAATTATAATGTGTCTTCTGTCTGGGCTTGACTATTTGTATCCCAGTAAGCAGTGTTGAGTAACATGTTTAACATACCTTCAAGTGTAGACATAGACGATAGAGCGTATGTATCTTCTAATTCATTCTCTGGACCAACTTCTTCCCATGATGCACCAAAGTTAGCTTTAATAACTTTCTGTACGTGATCGGCAACATTCACCTCAACATCCTCCAACTAAAATATAAACAAACAAAATATTAGACAAACAATTCACTTTGAAGTAGTCAACATTAATTCCCTTGACTGACAAAGAAACGGAACAGGGTTGAACGTCTTATTTTTCTTTCTTATTCAAATACGTTTTTTTTTTTCTTCTGCTGGTTGGGTGCCGCAATGGTTTTTCGTTTAAAAAGTCTCAGATACGAAACATTGCATGGCGTTAGAAGAACCAGTTAATTGTCAGAGGTGGGACCTGTTGGGCTGACAAGGAAAGTTTGTCTGGATCTTTAGGTGGGAATTCGAAGATGAGTGGATGGAAATCTGCCCCCCCCACACACACACATTGCATGCAAAACAACAGAAATGGAAATTATCTCTAAAAATTGTGTTAACAAAACTTTAAATGTCATACACTTCTCCAGCTTGTCAGAATTGTAGACTGACTTACTGCCCTTATACAAGGGTTAATTATTGATGTTTTATATATGAAACTTGCTAAAATAGTACAGTATAGAAAGTACAGTATAAGCGCATTAAACTGGTTTCTAAACCACCCTCATATTATGTAAATAATCAGTATTAACACACTTTATAAATGACGATATTATTATTTTACAAGACAGAAAGTTGCCATTTTGGATTACATACCACATATTCATCTTCGTAGCCTTCGTCGTCAGGTTCTCCCGTATTGGGGTCGCAATCCTTCACGATAAATTTTAATGTACACGTAAATGTTCCAGTCACTGAAAATACAAAAAAAAGCTAATTCATCTAACAATTATGCAATCTAATTAAAATACTGATCTACAGTATACTGCGATTCGGTTTTTTTATACTTTCGATTGCCTCCATTACATGAAGATCTGACCCGTTGTAGTGGGAGTTTGTTGTCAGTGGTCATACATTGCCTTTTGACAGACATTTGACCAGTGCTTAACAAATCGCCTCAACAGACCGTTTCATTGGCTATTCCCTCACATCAACCAGAATGCCTGTTATATAACAACTCTTTCAGATCCTAGTGTAGTAAAGACAAGTAAAACGAAATTTTGAACAATAAAAAATGAAATAGGATCTGTGTTTTAATCAGATTGGTCAAGATTGAAACCATACAGGTAAGTTTTTTTTATCTCATTATGTTAACACAGATATAACTGCTAAGTTTCTTTTTTTTTACTTATATGCAGTGTACAAGGCAAGGGAACTCAGTTACTGTTAGTCCATCCAAATGACTAGTCCATCCATCATCACTGATAAGTTGAAACAACACCAACTTATCAATTCGCTTGTATGTAGCAGTCTTTTAGCTGTGAGAGGAAACCCGGATAAACCCACGAGGTTAGACAGATGACCCTACTCCTTGTCACATACAAGTGGGAAATCTAAACCACGTCTCGTGTGATCTGCATACGTATATATATTATAACCTACCTGAGGTTGGTTCTTCAGGTAATCTAACGAGTGTATAGGTAGTACCAGGTTTATCGTAAGGGAGATTACTACAATGTATATATTTCATTACTTCAAACCCGTCTGAACCATCCATATGAACCGAAACATTCTCTAGCAGTTGATCATTCAACGTGTTCGTACAGTCAAACTAAAAATAAAATTAAAAAATTAAAAAATTAATACACAACCACAATGAGTATTAAAATATTTCCCCTTCTTCCCTTTTAAATTTTTCATTCATTTTGAATAAATTCCAGTGGTTCACCAAAACTTTATTTTACTGGTACTCTATTTAAACTAGCCAATCAAGATTTGAAAAGTCAAGATGATGGCTATTTTCATTACAATTAACACTGGTATATTTATGTTTAAGATAAAGACATTCAGATGGTACGAAAAAGCAATTTCCTGTGTACACATCGGCATGCACATAAAAGATCCCTCGACAGTTGGAATTCAATATAATAGTATGTCAAATTTCCCTCATAGCACACTGTATGGTGTATACCCATCTTCATTAGTCCATTTGATAGATGTAGAATTTGTCTTTTTATTTGGCCACCCGATACTTTGACAGAATAAAACACTCTCTTCACCATCTGATTTATATCAAGTTATGTCTGAGAACTATAATTTTTGTTTACGGTATCCATGGCTTTATTACAAAGTGACTTGCAGAGAAATGCTCTGTATGACTCGTCCAACCAGCTCCAAAATAAACCAAGTCAGAATTTGTATTTCTCAGAAATCACTACTGGGCTAATAAAGACGGGATTACGCCATACAGTAGACAGCGTTGCTACGGCCTACTCTTGTATCAAATTCCAACTGCCAAGGGATCTTTTACGTGCACACCGATGTGTAAACAGGGCCTCGTCCACCACCAACACGTGGGATAACAATAAACTGTATATTACCTGTAATACTAGATAATGACTAAATGTATGTTTATTTATTCCCCCGCCCCCCCCTGATATCAGATAACAATAAACTGTATATTACCTGGAATACTAGATAATGGCTAAATGTGTGTTTAATACATTGTACCACATACTCAGTCTCGGATTCTGTTAACTCTATTGGTTGAGATGATCGGAATAATGGTCCTAAGTTAGCCAGCTCTGGTACAGCAGATAGTTGTTCTATTCAAATACAATAAAATATAAATTATTTCAATGGCGTTTAATAATTGAAGTGTAAATACACAGGTCAAATTTCTAGAGAGAGAGAGAGAGAGAGAGAGAGAGGGAATAACAGATAGTTGTTTTGTTTAAATACAATAAAATATAAATTATTTCACTGACATTTAATAACTGAACTGTAAATACGTAGGTTATAATTCAGTAGAATAGAATTAATGTTTATTATTATTACTTGATAAATACGAGGAAGTCTAGATGAAATGTTGTTCAGTAATTATATTGTAGACACATGTACATACTAAACATACGCTATTCGTCTATTATTAGCTCCGCATGAGAACAGACATTAAGATAGCTCGAAAACTCTGAGTATACGTCAATAATTTTGAGAAATATTTATTTCGCTTCAATTTAATATCATTAAAAAAGTTTATTTAATCTTTGTGTGTATGACAGATGTGAAGCGGATTAGAACAGCATTACAAATACTAAATGTTGGATATGGTGGCCATTTAGGACAGAGATCTATTCTCGATGTAGATAGTTGTCTGTGTGCAGTATTATGTATATAAAGACTAAATAAGCCTATATGAAACATCGCTCACAGTCGAAATGTCGCACAGCAATAGAGAAATGAAATGAAATGAAATGGGGTTTAACGTCCTACTGTTCTGCTCCTAACCTGGGCTAATGAAGACGGGCATACGCCATACAGTGTGCTATGAGGGAAATTTTGCCCGGACAGCGGCACTACAGCCTACTCTTATATCGAATTCCAACTGCCAAGGGATCTTTTACGTGCACGCCAATGTGTACACGGGACCTCAGTTTTTCGTCCCATCCGAACGACTAGACAGCTTTCCTTGTCAGGCCCTCCGTCCTGCATCACTGACAAGGGAGAACCACGCCGGAAAATCTGGATGAACTTTCTCGGCCAATGCAGGGATCGAACACCCGACCTCCAGGCTAGCGAGCTAGCGTCTTACCCACTTAGCCACGTGATCCCCACAGCAATAGAGAGAGATAGAGTAGAAATAAACAATTATTGTATTCCATTGATAAAGATCGTAGAAACGTGGTCGAAATTTTCCTTTTACATTATCTAATTTTTAACTATTATAGCAAGAACAGCCAGCCCTTTATCTAAATCTATGGAATACAATTATTGGTAACCATAGTAACTAACCTGCGTAAACATCTACACGTGAAGCAACTGGTTTGTCCACAGTTTTACTCATTCCCATATCTCCTGTATCACGAGATGTCACTGAAAATAGAATCATTTATAAACATGGCTACATAGAAATCAAATAATAGAGAGAGATGGAAAAAAATATTCTATATTATTTTTGTACATTTCAATTTTTTTGTATGAATAGTGAAATTTGTTTGTCTGATGATTTTAATAATTATAAAATATTACTTATAAAAAAAAGATTGTTATACAGAGAGGCAGAGAGAGGAACAGGGGTTAACGTCCACTCAACACAAACTAGGACATTTCGGGACTAACACATGGTTCAATTTTATTTTAATAGTTCGCTTGTATGTAGGGGTCTTTAGCAGTGGGAGGACCCGGAGAAAACCCACAAGGTTTAACAGGCTAACATACTCCTTGTCACATACAACCAGGGAATCGAAACCACGCCAGTTGACTCAATGACAGACATTATGAATCAATGTGCACACACGCTAACCATTCAGCCGCCCCCCACACACAAATAATAGGAATGGCCATCAACACAATACTGATTGTAAAAAGGAGACTTTTACCCAGGCAGCAGCTTTTCATAAAGTGTTCTTTAGAATCGGAAAATCATTGGATATTTTAATGCGCAGATCAGAAGCAAGGCTTTGCTTTCACAAAGCATTCTAATACTTAAGATTCTTAACTTACACGTCACCGGGAAAGCTTCATAATTTTTTTTTAAATAATGCAAGTAATTAACACTATCACAGAGGTAATATTGACATTCGGGTTTGTTTTAAACTTATGGAAAGTCTATGTTGACATAATTTCTAACATTATTTAAAAAAAATTATGAAGCTGTCCCGGTGTGAGGAGAGAAGAGAGAGAGAGAAATGGGGTTTAAGTCCACTCGACACAAACTAGGTCATTTCGGGACTAACATATGGTTCAATTTTATTTCAAAAATTCGCTTGCGCGTAGGGGTCTTTAGCAGTGGGAGGAAACCAGATTTCCCGGTGACCTGTAAGTCTGAGAATATTATTTTGTGACCGGGTCCAGGACAAGAGAATATTCAAGAGAAATCCAGTAAGCCATGTATATGATTAGTCAATGAGAACTATATCTCAACTCCTACCTGTTTTCTGTTCTGTCATTGTTTGAGTTGCTAGTGGCACAGATTTTAGATCAAATGGAGTTTCAGATGGTTCTAGGGTGTAATTATGTACAGCTCTTTCTAAACCAACCACAGAAACTTGTAAACCTGTAAAATACATACATACAAGGTAAATAAATATAGACAAATTCAAGATCCCAGAATCAGGGGAGCAACAGTGGCTCAGTGAGTAAGACGTTGGCTTGCTAATTTGGAGGTCCCGTGTTTGATCCTTGCGCTGGTCGAGAAAGTTGATCAGGATTTTCAGCCATGGTTCCCAGTGGGGCAGAACAGAGGGTTTGGGAAGGGACAGCTGTCTAGTCGTTCAGATGGCACGAAAAACTTTGGTTCTGTGTACACATTGGAATGCACGTAGAAGATTCCTTAGCATTTAGAATTCAATATAACAGTAGGCCATAGTGCTGCTGTTCGGGCAGCTCGTATTCATGAGTCCAAACATTGCTTTATAATACTAGAATACATTCACTATCACTACAACTCATTTTGAATAAACATACCGTTTAGAATATAGGCAGACTTCAATAAAACATACTATTTAGAATGTAGGCAGAGTTTAATAAAACATACTATTTAGAATATAAGCAGAGCTCAATAAACATACCGTTTAGAATGTAGGCAGAGTTCAATGATTTCTGTTGTTGTTTTAAGATGCTTACGTAGAAAGTTGCACGATCTCGAACCTCGTCGTCTGTATCCAACTGACATCTAGAATATAAAATACAACATTTTACAATATAAGACCTATAGAATTATTCTCATAAAATATACACAGACAGAACAGGGGCCTGTTTCACGAAATTTTAACGAAGATAAAATACAAATTTTAGTAATTTGATTGGATAATATTAGATTGATTTTAGTGCTTAGCCAATCCAAATTGAAGTATCAACTAAAATTTGGATTTTATCTTTAGTCATGACTAGGAGAAACAGGACCCGGAAATTTTTCACCTGGTCCAAGACGTTTCTAGTTGGCTTTAATCATGAAATAAGGGAATGTGTCTATAATTTTTCGGATGGGACGAAAGCTCAAGGGTCAATGTATGCCACTCGAAATCAAAATGAGAGTAAAGCCGTAGCGCCAGTGTCAGAGCAAAACAAATATCATATCACACTGTATGGCATGTGCCCTGAGGGGGAGAGATAGAGAAAAATGAGGTTTAATGTGCATTCAACACAAACTAGAAGATTTTAGGACTAATATATGGTTAAATTTTATTTCAATAATTCATGTGCGGATCTGTAGGGGTTTTTAACAGTGGGAGAACCCGGAAACAACCAAAAGGTTGGACAAGCGATCCTACTCCTCTGAACTGGTGCAGAAAAGAAGGATGTGAAAGTCCATCCATGAAATATTAAATGAAAGAAAGGGATGTTAATAAACCCCACGATGAAATATTAAATGAATACAAACCGTTCTAATAGAACAACACAGCTGGGTAATAATTCATCACAATGGGCACCAAATTTAGCTATAGCACTAACAGCAGCTGTAAATATAAAGATTATCATAGTAAACCCATCAGTTGTCTCCCCTAGATTGAAACTAAGTGGGTGCTCGATAATCTGTCAGAAACATCCTGAATTTACAAAATTGCAATCGATTGACGCGAAATTCAGTCAAGTTACAGCTCTGTCAGTCCCAACAACGGAGGTGGTATGAGTAGAATCGTGACCTAATAGTAAGTGCAGGAGGACCGCACTACACCAAAAACAAAAATCTACAAGATAAACCTGCGGACAAGACAGAAAATAGACATTGCACCAAATAAACAGATATCAAATCAAGTGAATGGATCCGGGGACCATCTCTGTTGTCTTAACTGACAGAACAGTGACAGGACAGAATTCCTGTCACTAGATTACTTCAACTATCACCGTTGGTAGAGATATTTTCTTATGCCGGGATTTGAAGCTGAAACGCATGCCTCGAATGCTTAAGATAATATATCAACCACATGCCTGGTTGTTGATACATAACATATAGCAATGATAAGCTCCAGAATACATAAAAATCTTCTATTATTCGCAGTCCCACTAGAAATTTAAGATCAACGAATAAAAATCTATTGACGGTCCCAGCTGTCAAATCTTGAGGCAAGCCGTAGTTTATTTGCATACTCGGCCCATTTTCTATAGAATTCACTACCCTTGTCAATTAGACTGTCCAAGATTGTAGAAAGTTTCAAATCTCAGTTGTGAATAAATTTGTTAAAACATGAAAGGCGCAATAAAATGTTCCATAAATTATGTTTGAGCTATATAAATTGAGAATTATTATATATATATATATATGTAGTGAATATTACCTGCTCGTACAGCAGCGTTCTCCAGTATAACACGATTATATATAAATCGTATATATTTAGATGGTGATGGTGTACGAGGACCTTCACGGCCTAATAAATGTAGAATTCTGGTAGCCAGTACAGTATGTTCACAATCTTCTATAAACTCACATAGATGAGCCAAACCTGTTTAAATATAATCACAGTTTAAAGATACATTATGGAAGATTAGATAAAGAGCTGACCATTCTTGCTATAATAGTAACAAAATAGATCACGTAAAAAGAATAGGTTGAAAATTTCAGTCAAATTGCTCCACTATGAACTAAGATTTTAGCTTTTGAATTTTAGACCTAGTCTTGATCATCATTACTAAAGTCGGTACGATATAAAACAGTCTCGATTATCCATTTTTGGATTTAATCATCAATGAGAGTTCAGCAGCAGATTGGATTCAAATCCGACACATAATATGGCACTGAGAGTTGATTATGGTCTGGATAAGTTAATTAATGTCTAATTAATAATTTATACAACATTTCAGGCCTAAAGAAAAACCTACAATAGGCAGATTTAGTTCTTGCATAATGTATGTTTAATATTTTCTCCAATCTATGTAGAAGTCGGCCTGTTTAAAAAATTTAGGCCGTATAAAAACAATACACTGGTTCTCAAATTTTCTCGCATCACTTAAAAAGGGTATCATGAGATGTTTTTATTTCAAACATTAAAAACAATCTCCTTAATTACTGCTCTAACATAGGGCATCTTTAAGTTATACATTTAATAAAATAAAACTGTACCTGCTTCTTTAGCTTCTGGATTTTCTTCAATGACTGTAATAATACAATCAACTATAGCTCTTTTATAATCAAAACCTCCCTGTAATAATAATACAATCAACTATAGCTCTTTTATAATCAAAACCTCCCTATAATAATAAAACATCTCTTATAATAAACCCTCCCTCTTATAATAAAATCTCCCTTTAATAATAAACCCTCCTTCCACATAAAAACTCCCTATAATCTTATGTACAATGTATGTTCTGGGAGTTGTCTGTACCTCAGCAGATTCACCCCCATGAGAATTTTGTGTAATAAGTTATATGTCAACTGAATATGATGCAATCTGAACACTATGACAGGAGGATGCTGTTCCATGTCAGTAGATTGTAATACGATCAACTCAGAATGTTTCCGACTGACAATCGATACTGATACAGCATTCGTTCTGATCATATGAAATGGGGTTTAACATCCTACTGTTCCGCTCCAAACTGGGCTAATGAAGACGAGCATACGCCATACAGTGTGCTGTGTCCTACTCTTATATCGAATTCCAACTGTCAAGGGATCTTTTACGTGCACGCCAACGTGTACACAGGAGCTCGGTTTTCGTCCCATCCGAATGACTAGACAGCTGTCCTTGTCAGGCCCTCCGATCATATAATTATTGATGTCAGTAAATAACTGTTTATGAAATATGAAATTATTTAAATAAATTGAATATATGACAAGGGCAAATAACTCTAACTTACCTCGTCTCGTAACATGGAAGATAAAAATGTCATCAATACATTGTGTTTACGGGGAAACTTAGCACACAGAGATCTGAAAACATAAATATTATTTTTATTTCATGTAGACACTATCAAATTTTATGCTTTCTGATATGTTCTTTGAGAGAGAGACAAATGGGGATTTAACATCCACTTGACACATACTAGATCATTTCGGGACTAACATATAGGTCAATTTTATTTCAATAATTCTCCTGAAGAAAAGTAAGAATTTTAGGAAGGGGACCCTACTTCTTGTCATTGTATACAGTCCATTTGACAGACACCCATCCCATTGCCTCTTCAACAAGATTGATCAAAGGGAACTAAAATCATTACTTGAGTTACTTCCCTTATTGTTTGTTTTCATTTTAAATGAATCCTGTATCACTACAAGCCCGGGACTGTACAGCTCAATGAACGCTTACGACTAGCCCTGATTTTCATTCCCTTGATCTGATATGTACATTTGCTGTTTGTGGTGCCTGTATATATTAACAAAAGATTTGGTTTGTGTAATTGTTTGTGTATAGTGCAGTTCCCCTGAACTTACTATTAACAAAAAATTAAAAATTGCTTAGAACCAGTACATAGTGATAAATGGTACTATTTAACGAATGTGTATTCCTAAAGGAGAGAAACTCCATACATACCTGATAGCATGAACTACAACTATTTTAAATTCATCAGAGATTTCAGACATAAATGATGAAATCTGTTTCATTAGACGATCAACACTTGATTCGTTACCAGTTTTAAGTAACGTTGTGATAGCGAGGGTGGCGATACTTCTGTTGACATCAGTGATTAAACTTTCAAGATCAAGGTTACATGCTGTCACAGCAGCTGGATGTTTCATAGCAACCTAATAAAATAAAGTCATGTCATTCGGTTTATCATCATCATTATTCTTAATACATACTTCTATAGATCACAACTGCCACAAAGACATATTATAAAACAAGACACTGTTACATTTACATAACCAAATGGAATAAAATCTATCTATCCATACTAATATTTGTGATTGTCGTTTGTCTGTTCAGGGTTGGTAGCTACACTAGGGATGTCCCGAGGCTGAAATTTGGTGAATAGGGGTAGCTGCGGCAGAGGAGTAACATTGGCCAGATGGCGATCGACTACCACTTTCAGTTTCAAAGATATGCTACTTCCAGTTTATGGCAATATCTGTGCTATGCCGGGTCAACCGCTAGTACTTGATAAACATAACGCTAACGCTACAATATACGTCCACATTCCAATTCTGCTTTGATTGACAAGGTACTTTGTCAAGAAGGCTAGGCTTTTGGTTTGTTTAGCGTTGAGGGTCGTGCATCAACATCAATAGTTCCTGTCCTTAGAGTATAACTTATTAATAAGTATACCAAGATAATGCATTCAGAATTGTGCCTTTCACATTCCAAAGGCAAAAAGTGGGCGTGACTCTGCTCCTGGGGGTTGAGACATTCACCAAAATCAATAGTGGACTCCCTAAGGCAATAAGGAATACATATGCCAAGTACCGAGCGGTATAAGGAATATGTATTTTAAGTTTCAAGATGATCGATTTAGAATTGTGGCCTGTAGGCGACACACAAAAAGAAAATTGGCATGGCTCTGCCCCTGGGGGTTGGGCATGTAGGGCCTACTCCAAATGATAAGGATGTTCCAAATGATAGGAATGTTCCTTAGGGTACAAAGAATAAGTATATAAAGTGTGGCTCTGCCCCTGGGGGTTGGGCATGTACCCCAAACGATAGGGATGTTCCTTAGGGTACAAAGAATGTGTATGCAAGATTATAAGTTAAGAAATGTGGCCTGTAGACGACAAACAAACAAATACTAGAAATGGGCGTGGCTCTGCCCCTGGGGGTCGGGCATGCACCAAAAACAATAGGGATCTTCCTTGGGGTATAAGGAATAAGTATACCAAGTTTGAAGAAAATCCAGTAAGAATTGCGCCCTGTAGGCGACACAAAGACACACGAAAAGAAAATGGGAAATGGGCGTGGCTCTGCCCCTGGGGGTTGGGCATGTACCCCAAACGATAGGGATGTTCCTTAGGGTACAAAGAATGTGTATGCAAGATTATAAGTTAAGAAATGTGGCCTGTAGACGACAAACAAACAAATACTAGAAATGGGCGTGGCTCTGCCCCTGGGGGTCGGGCATGCACCAAAAACAATAGGGATCTTCCTTGGGGTATAAGGAATAAGTATACCAAGTTTGAAGAAAATCCAGTAAGAATTGCGCCCTGTAGGCGACACAAAGACACACGAAAAGAAAATGGGCGTGGCTCTGCCCCTGGGGGTTGGGCATGCACCCCAAACGATAGGGATGTTCCTTAGGGTACAAAGAATGTGTATGCAAAGTTTCAAGATTATTAGTTAAGAAATGTGGCCTGTAGACGACAAACAAACAAATACTAGAAATGGGCGTGGCTCTGCCCCGGGGGGTCGGGCATGCACCAAAAACAATAGGGATCTTCCTTGGGGTATAAGGAATAAGTATACCAAGTTTGAAGAAAATCCATGAAGAATTGCGCCCTGTAGGCGAACCACAGACACACACACACACACACACACACACACACACACACACACATACACACATACACACACACACACACACAGACAGGGGCGACGGCATAATACGTTCACATTATGAATGTGGACGTATAAAAATCAGAGTTCAGTTGGAAATAAAATGGGGTTTAATGACCACTCGTTTATCATTTTTGGACTATCAGGGGATCTTAAATGTGATGCCAATGCTATACACAGGACTTGTTTTCGTCTGATCCAAAGGCTCTCCCTCTGCACCACTGACATGAGAAACCAGGTTGTCAATTCTTGGGGAACTTTCTCGGTCCAACACTGGAATTAAAACTGTGAATCCCTGATTAGTGAGCCAGCATCATACTCATCAAATCACCGTGGCCCCAGAGGGTAGTTAACTTAAGTATTTATCTAATCGGATATAACTTTTACGTAAAAGTCTAAGAGATCGTTTGCCTATAAATCTCTACGGACCTTATTGAGAGTTCGAACCGCAGCAAATCGTAAAGTAGGTTTTGGTGAACCACAGAAGAGTTGGAGAACGGAGACAGCAGGAGCAAGATCTTTAGCTGTTGTATTCTTCATATTAACAATAGCATGAGCAGCTTCATATATAACCATCTCATTCTTATGACGTAGACAATTCTCAATAAAATCAAACATTGGACTCTCAGATCTGTAATAGCAATTATCAGAAATAAGAAATATTTAACTATTTAACTGAATAACAATACATACTTTTGGTGCTCAAGTTGAAGCAGCCATTTTCTGAATGTTTTTCTTAGCGAAGTTGCCATAAGTCTTTAAGCTAAGTGTTATAAGTCTTTTAGCTATAATGTAAGTGTTATAAGTCTTTTAGCTAAATTTTGCAAGTCTATAGCCATATTCTGTATGGTCTATAACCTTTTGCAAACATTGAAAACTCCTTTTTTACACGCATATCAAATACATGTATTTTAAAACTCTTATGATTACTTTTAATGATGAAATAGTTTTCCAACATCTCTATTTTAAACGCATATCAAATATATATATTTTAAAACTCTTATAATTACTTCCAATGATAAAATAGTTTTCCCGACCTCTAGTTACTGTGTCTTTGTTTACCAGGAAATATGAGATAAATCAATTAAAGAAGGATTAATGGGAAGAGAATGTATTTTTGAATAGGTCTACAGTGAAATCGGTGTCTCTGGTAGGTCAAGTTACTTCCTACATACAACCAATGTGAAAAGAATGTGTATGTAAAATGAATTCACGGTTTAGCATATGTTTCTAAAGATATGTAAAATGATTTCCTACCCTGCATCTTCTTCTTCAATTAATTTACTGGCAATACGGATCTGAAATAAAATAAATATGGAAATGAAATGGGGTTTAACGTCCTACTGTTCTGCTACGACTGGCCTAATGAAAATAGGCATACGTCATACTGTGTACTATGAGAGAAATATTACCCGGGCAGCGAAACTTAGGCCCACTCTTATATAGAATGCCAAACGCCAAGGGATTATGCATGCAAATGTATACACGGAACCTCGGTTTACCGTCCCATCTGAACGACTAGACAGCTGTCCTTAACATAAATATGGTATAAAAATATAAGAGTCTTCTTACAGTGACATACAATGATTACTGGTCATTGTTTAATGTATCTGTTAACACAAACTCACATCAACAAATTTGAACAGTTTACTGGATAATAGGTGCTATATAAATACATTATTATTATTATTATCACAGTCTCAATCAAATCAAATTGTAAACAGAAGACAGTTATGGTCACAAAATAAGACACTAAATTTTTTTTAGGATAATGGAAAGTGTTAAATCATATAAAAGTAGATGTATAGAGAGTACTTACCAATAAACAATATGCATACGGTGATCGTAGAGAATGTTTACTAAATTTAGTCACCAACTTGTTGACGGCTAATTTATCCTTCTTACGAATATGATATAATAACCCCAACGCATGATACTGAAAACATATAATATACAAATATCATTCCGAATACCAGATAATATATAAATTACAGACATATTACTGAATACAAAATCAAAAAATATTATTGTAAAATGAATTGCCAATCATGACAGCTTTAGGCAAGCTTTCAATGCATGTGTTTTCACCAGCAGAAAAACACAGATTTTCCGTGCTCCATTTTTGTAAAATTCCATGGGTATAGAACAATTGTTGTAATGTTTGGGGAATCCTACGTAAATGACAGTAAATGACGTTATGATTGTGGATTTCTCTTTACAGCACAGAGCTTGACGTTGTTTATGTTCAGTAGCAGCATTTTTATTAAAACACCATGTCCAAAAAGTCTGCCATTTGCAAGCTGGATTAGCAAAAGTGAGAGCCGTTGATTGAACAGATCTGTGGTTGTACGCCAGAATGTAAACACCCGCACGCACTCTTTGCAAGAAAAAAATGCTAGCAAAAAGTGTGTCATTGAGAGAGAGAGAGAGAGAGAGAGATGGGGTTTAACGTCCACTCAATACAAACTAGATCATTTCGAGACTAACATTTGGTTCAATTTTATTCCAATAATTCGCTTGCTCGTTGGGGTCTTTAGAAGTGGGGGGAGGAAACCGGAGGACCCGGAGAAAAGCCACAAGGTGGGACAGGCGACCCTGTCAATGAGTTGACTCATTGACAGACCTTATGATACAACGTACGTGCTTACAATTCAGCCATCCAACCCCCTCATAGACAAAGAAATAATAGGTCCGGTTGATGAAGACTACCTACCTGTACCATCATGTTGTCGCTATTCACAGCTTCTTGAGCTTCGTTTACCCAACGTTTCGTAACTTCCTGACTCACATGACTTAAATGCTGGAAACAAAATAAAAGTAGGATATAAATCAGCTGTTTTTTTGCACGAGAAAAACGGAATGACATGATCAAACTGGAACAAGACCACCGTTGTTAGATAATGTAAGAGATAATACAAGACTTCTGCCAACTAGCTCTGATCAGGGTCTGGCCAAGATTCCCCAACCGTTATAGTTTAGGAACCATAATCCTGACAAAATGATTCAACGAAAGAAATGAAATGAGGTTTAACATCCTACTGTTCTGATCCTACTGAGCTAATGAAGACAGGCATATCTCAAGCAGTGTGCAATGAGGGAAATTTTGAAAGAGGCAGCGATGCTATGGTCTATTTTTATATCAAATTCTATCTGTATGGGGATCTTTTAAATACAAGCGTTAGAACTAGTAAGTGAAATAATACCCAGTTTAATATCACAATTAATCATTTATTGGAGATTTCTAAGGAAAAACAATAAAGTTGGGAAAATCTGGATATCACAATTAATCATTTATTGGAGATTTCTAAGGAAAAACAATGAAGTTGGGAAAAGCTGGATATTCGTTGGAGGAGTCACATATTTTATTACAAGACAATGCACTTAACACTGTAGTCCAAATTAACAAAGAACAAACTGTACATGTAAAAAAAGAATCTTACCAAAGATGAAACAAGGGCAGCACTGGAAACAGCAGAAACTTTATCTACTATAGCTTGTTTCATATAACGTTCTATACTCTGTAACATCATGTGCTGTAACATTCAACCAAATATATAAGAATATAGGAAGCTTTCTGACAATTGATTGTTTTTGTTTATAAAGTTTATGATAAAATAATGTTGAGAAAATCTATATTTTTAAAATACCTATAATAACTATCTTATTAAAGATACATTAGGGGAGATAAGATAAAGAGATGGCAGTTCTTGCTATAATAGTTACAAACTAGACAGTGTAAAGGTAATTTGCTGAAAATTTCAGTCAAATTGATCCACTATGAGCCGAGAAAGAAGCGGGTGAAATTTTTGCATAGTCTCGGTCATCATTACTAAAATCATTAATATAAACAGCATAGTCTCGATTATCCACTTTTTCTGATTTAATTATCTTTGGCCGTTAGCGGCATATAGGAATCTGATCCAGCCTACATCGAAGGCTAGCCTTGACATCGAGAGTTTATTATGGTCTGGATAAGTTAATTAATGTCTAATTGATAATTTAGATAACATTTCAGGCCTAAAGAAAGACTTGTAATAAGCAGATTTTGCTCTTGCATAATGCATGTTTAAGTTAATAGTGAAAGGATACTTACATCTGTAATAGAACATAAAGCTCTAATAGAAGGACCACGAAACTGATCTTCTTTACCAGTCATATCCTTCATTAAACTAAAAATAAATAAAATTTATTTAACAAATAAAGAAGACGGACATAGCCATACAGTGTGCTATGAGGTAAATTTTGCCCGGTCAGTGGCACTACGGCCTGCTCTTATATCGATGTGCTATGAAGTTAATTTAGTCCGGAGAGAGATAAATGGGATTTAATGTCCACTCGACACAAACTGTCATTTCGGGACTAACATATGGTTCACTTTTATTTCAATAATTTGCTTGCGTGTAGGGATCTTTAGCAGTGAGAGGAAACCAGAGGACAATGAGAAAATCCACGATGTTAAATTTTGCCTGGACAGCGGCGATCCTGCTCAGTTTTATTTTGCATTCCTACTGCAAAGGTTTTTTTTTACACGTGCACTAATGTGTATACAGGACTTAACAAGGGGGAACCACACCAAAAAATCTGGATAAACTTTCTCTATCAACACTAGGATCTCCAGGTTAACCAGCCAAACGTCTAACTCACTGAGCCACAGCGGCTCCAATATTAACTAAAATGGTAACTGTAATAGTAAGATTATATTAGCATACCTGCTGGTGACAATGATGACATCATTGGCTATTTTTGACATTTCTTTAATTCCTAAATAAACCAATCGTCTTAAAGTTGTCTAAAAAATAAACAGTTTCAATAATAAAAATTTGACAGCCTAAATGTATGTTTTTTTTATAAATTTTACTATGAAATCGTGTAACAAAGAATAAATTGTCTTTAATATCATGTAACCAAAGGAATAAATTATTTTTGAAATTGTGTAAACAAAAGAATACATTATCTTTGAAATTGTGTGATTAAGGAATAATTTATTTGTTTTACTTCTTGAGTTTCTAGTATAATAATACATTCTTTGTCCTCAAACTTGACCATATTTTTATTTCCACGAAGCTAAAAGTTAACAGTGCAGTTTGGGGCAGTTTAAGGAGCCCTAGTTGAGGTGGTCTAAGAGGTAAACCCTAGTAAAAACACGTTTGAATAATGTTCACTTACATCTTTGGATTGGAAAAGTTTTGTCATTGCAAAAAAAGCCTCTGTTGCTTCTGTAGCTCCAATAGATTCACCCTAAAACATAGAATAGATAACAAGATAGATTACACTTTATTCCAAACAAATTAATTCATTGTTTCTTTCAAATTATTTTCAATGGTAGGTCCCTCTAAAAAGAGAAGCAATTCACACAACTGGTCACTTGTAACAGGAGATATCAGTGTCCATTTATATTTTGCTTTTAACGTTTGTGATATTTTTACTATTTGTTCATCGTAAAGAGCCATTGACCAATCTTTGTGAAAATGGCGTTAGGCCTATATCATTATGTCTGTCATTGAGTCAAATGGTGTGGTTTTGATTCCTGCTTGTATGTGACAATGGGGAAGGGTCACCTGTCCAACCTGGTGAGGTTTCTCCAGGTCTTCTGGTTTCCTCCCACTGCTAAAGACTCTTACGTGCAGGCAAATTATTGAAATAAAATCAAACCATGTGTTAGTCCCGAATAGGCCTAGTTTGTATCAAGTGGACGTTAACACCCCACTTGCTCGCTCGCTCTCTCGATAACCCTACGATCTGATTCTATATTATTGTCCTTACCTGGTTGATGAGGTAGAGGATCTTGGTTAAAATATGGCCACATCTTCGAGGATTTATAGGAGTTTCATTAAATATTCTCGCCTGAAAACAAATAGAAATATTAATATAATGGTTGCTATGTGATAAGGGAGGCAGAAATGGGGTTTTACACATTCTAACCACTAATGACAGTACATGTACTTCAAAGCAAGGGCTGCTTGGGGTGGAAGAAATAGAACAACAAAGGATAAGTAGACAAGCGAACTCCTTGTCACTTGTACATGTATGATGTCTACACATAAGCTACCCTAGTTTAAAAATATCAGTACTGGTAAATTACTGGGTACCTCAAAAATATAAATCTCTACAAAAGATAATGGAATATGCATAACTGAAACCGCCAATATTAAAGCAACCTGTTCAGATGACCAACTCTGAAAAAAAGCCTCCTCAAAAACATGTACAAAGTTGGTATTTTGTTTCATTTATCAGACTACAAAGATAAGGAAATTTATTAATCCACAGCCACTTTAAACCCACGCAACTTAGGCATCTGAGGGCCTAAATTACTAGACCAAACTCATAGTGTTATTAAAACATATAATTACCTCCTGTAATACGCTACTTTTCTCTAAATTATTGAACGGGTTGCCACCTGAAATATATTAACATTAAACCACCTTCAATTAATACAGGTAGAAGACGACAATAGCCCTACATCTTCTTAATCTTTAATAATCCATAAATCTTAAGACTTAATAAGAGCCAGATATGACAGGGATAGCAATAAAATGGGGGGTTAACGTTAACTCCTAATTTTCGGAAATGAAATGTGGTCTAACAGCTTACTTTTCTGCTCCGACTGGTCTAAAGAAGATGGTCATACATGTACATGATACAGTGTGCTATGACTATGAGGGAAATTTTGCTTGGACAGAGACGATAATGCTAACTCTTATAGCGAAATCCAACTGCCAAGGGTTCTTTTAGGTTCACACCAAATACTAATAGCCTATGTATGCGGGACCTTGCTTTTTCGTCACATCCATGACTATGCTGTCTCTTGCCCGGCACCCCTGACAAATCTGAACTACCCTGGAAAAATCAGACAAACTTTCTCGACCAATGCAATGATCGCACATGGGACCTCTGCGTTAGCAAGCCAACGACAACCTCTTGAGTCTTATTCACTGAGCCACTGTGGCTCTCCCCTACTTAACTTTTCTAACCAAGTCAAATTAGGACGGCACATTGCAATGTAGTGTGATTTCAGGAGAAATGATGCCCGGATCAATCTGAATAAAATAGGATCCAGTCTGGCTAGTGCTGTCTACATATCAAATAAATATCTAATAAAAAAAATAATAAATACCGGTAGATCTAAAAACTAAAAATAAAATCTTGTATCGTCCGGTTGATCTTTATTTTGCAGTGTAAATGCCATACCCTTCAGTCAATAGGTTTTAAATAAGAACATAATATATCGTGAAATCATATTACCGTCTTCTTCTTCTTTCTTGTCACGTTTCAGCATCATCCTCGAGTATTTATTCCACTAAATATCTGTAAAAATTGTCTAACAAGTCTAAAGAAAAAACATCAACCTTCTCCACGTCACTTTCCAGTCTGCCCATGCGCAAGGCACGTCCGGTGAATAAGAGTTATCTCGCACTCATTGGCAAGAGACCACTAACTACATGTATCGGGGATAGCCGATGACCTGGCCGGATGACGTTTTAATATCCCCAAATCAGACTGATCGCCATAGTACCGATCTGCACAATCAAAAGTACAACAGAAAATGCCCCCCCCCCACCAGATATAGATCCATTAAACTAGGGTTTTTTTTTTTTGGGGGGGGGGGGATTATAGTGGTTTAACGCGTGTGCGTGAAATCATAAGGTCTGCCATTGAGTCAAGTGTCGTGATTTCTAATCCCCGTTTGTACGTGACAAGGGATAGGGTTGTCTGTCCAACTTCGTGGGTTTTTTCCCCGGGTCCTCCGGTTTCCTCCTACTGCTAGCTAATTATTGAAATAAAATTGAACCGTATGTTAGTCCCGAAATGGACTAGTTTGTGTCGAGTGGGCGTTAACTCCATTTCTGTCTATTCTGGGACTGATGAAAATAAAAACAAATCTAACGCGGTACATAACTGAACATAACGATGTGGCTCAGAGAGTAGGACATTGGCTCACTACCCTGGAGGTATCAGGTTCGTTCTTGGAGTTGGCCGACAAAGTTCATCGGGATTTTCCCGCGTGGTTTCCCCATCTCGGTGGTGCAGAAAAGCCAAAATCCCATGTACACATTGGTGTGCACCTAACAGATTGGGATTCCACAGTAGAAGAGTAAACCGTAGCGCCGCTGTCCGGGCAACATTTCCCCCACATAGCACACATAGCGTATGGTCGCCTTCATTAGCCAAGTCCATACAGAAAAGTAGGACATTAAACCCATTTCATTTCAATTATTTATTATGAAGGATAATTCATTCGTGTTGTGTGTAAACAATTGTCAGGGAAGATACGCACGCTGTTCTAGCAGACATTATTCTGACGAGGGGATAGCCTAGATAATTTGTTTATCATACTTGTGTAAATCGCGCTATTGTCGTGTATTATTGTGTTATTAACTTTAAAGTTTCGTTAGAACGTTTGGAATGTTAACGGAGCCACGGTACGGTGGCACAGAGACTAAGACGTTGTCTCGCTAACTTGGAGCTCCCGTGTTCGATCCCTGCTTTAGCCGAGGAAGTGCATCGGGATTTTCCGCGCGGTTCCTCTTTGCCAGTGGTGCAGGACAGAGGGCCTGGCAATGGACAACTCATAGTCGTTCGGATGTGACGAAAAACCGAGGTCCCGTGTACACATTGGCGTGCACGTTAAAGAACCCTTGGCAGTTGGAATTCGACATAAAAGTAGGCCTTAGTGCCGCTGCCCAGGCAAAATTTCCTTCATTGCGCATTGTATGGCGCAGCAGAAAGATAACGAAGGTCCTGTTATTGTCCGATCATTGTAAAACATATTTTATTACGGTATATATTAACGTTTTCTCTCAACGTAATCCACAATAATAATCCCCTCAAAGGTCTACTTTTACAATATCAACCATTTTTGCAATAAAATTTCTATAATGGAAAAACTGTTGTTACTTTCATAAAAATGGATATTTAATGGAAATGATGGTACTGATGATAATATGCACAATGGAAACATCAATAATGATTCGGGAAATTATCAGGGGGACAAAATCATCATGGTGATGATGAAAATGGCAAAATAAGAAATTATTCCAAAAATGGTTGCTGCATGGCTATATCTTGATCACCCAACGATGCCTGTAGGAAATTATAACAATATATTACATTTCTGTGAAAACTTAGAGATATTGTTACATTGTGAAATGAGGTTTAACGTCCTACTGTTCTGCTCCGACTGGACGGATTAAGACGGATACGCCATATAGTTTGATATGACTGTGAGCGAGATTTTGCCAGGAAAGCGGTTTGTCAGGAAAGCGGCGCTACGACTTCTCTATATTATATCGAATTCCAATTGCTAAGGGATCTTTTACGTGCAGGCCATTGTGCAAACGAAATCTCGGATTTTCGTCTCTTCCGAACAACTACATGTATATGTTGTCCTTTGCCAGGCCCTCTGTCCTGCACCACTGACAAGGAGGGACCAGGCCAATTTGTACAAGGTACACTGTTGGTCTATCGTTTCAAATACACTGTTTTGTACAAACAAGCCGTAATAAATGTTTGTCTAGCCAATTATTTTGGTACGCGTGATTTCCCGTATTCATGTCTGTTTACTTTCTCATCCTTCAAAATTTAAGTCAAATAGTTTATTTTGGGCGTAGTTATGAATGTTTGAAGTTTTGACAAGCAATAGCCGATTGTCCAGTAACATTGTCATGATAATAAACAAAGTCCTTTTATTGAGTGACTTCCATTTCATCGTTAATCGATTATAAGGCGCGGGTGGTCTAATCCATTCAATATCGAAGCCATCTGATGATCTAGAGATTAGATTATTGGCTTGTCATGTGAATAAATGTCTAAGCCTTTGCACATACCCTCTGTGTGGAATAGCGTTCTATAAATGTCTTCTTGGGCGCGTTTACTTTTACTCGTCCGATTGTTTGAAAAGAAAGTAGATGACGTGATTGATACCGTAGTAATGTTGTCTTTATTAACCGGGCAGAGAAGGTCCAACTGGGCAAAGCCGTTCAACTGAAAGGGATCGGTTCTGGTCATTTGCTGCCCGATTGTCACATAACCATTATTAATATTATAGATGATAATTAAAGGGCCAATTTCGATTATATTTTGGAGAATAAAACTGCTTAATTTTGTCATAAAAGCCCTTAAAATCCGCTACCTTAGGTCCGAGCAACTAACTCAATATATGTGATACATTTTCAAACAACTTAAACCCGTCAGTCTTCATCTGGATATGGAGACCGGTGTCCCAAGTTGTATTATACGGTGTCTGGATAAAACCAGACTTTTATTTAATAAAAATTACGATGGGGTGAAATATTCCGTTCGTTATCAAGTACAGACCATGGGCCATGCACTGTGTAGACCTCTAAAGGAACGGCAATAGATTATCAGGTCACCCAAGGAAAAAAATTACCCGAAATCTTAAAAGGGTTACGTGTCCGGATAAGCGGTTTTGGCGTTCAGGTCCACACCATTCCTCTATATTTTGGCGCTTAAATTTCATACGTACACGGACTTTTATTTCTGAGACTCTATTTAAATCGAGATGGTCCCTTTAATCTAACATTTGAAGACAAACAAGAGACCTATATTAGACGGATTTAGCTCCTATATAATGCATATTTAAAACTGAAAGAGGAAGTATTGTATGATTACACATTAGGTGTTTCTATAAATATGCACGTCTCTTTATGTTCGTGTGTATGCACGGTTCAATGTAAATCTATTCTATTGTGAACAATTTTATTCAATTTGTTTATTTTATTTTTTATTTTTAGTCGTTTTAATATCAATGAATACAATCAGTCAGGCCTTGGTTTAATCTTTGTTCCTACATATTGCATTTGTAATGAATCGAGAGAAATCGCTTCAGCGTGAAAATTTGACTTATAAATAACAATAAAGACACCGTGATAGATATAGCTTATATATAGTAACATGAGAACGTTAATATTATAGTTGAGTACATAATATAGGAGTATAGTTAACAGTAATATAGGTACATGTAAAAATATAAAATGGCATGACAGATAGAAATGAAATGTGATTTAACGACCTACTTTTAATACAGATGGACATATCACATAATGATATAGAATTATAGTTTATAGAAATTATAAGCTTAAATTGTAATATACAACATGATGTAGGATTAGCAAGATACCAGCATGGTGACAAACATAATTACAACATTATTGAACCAAGGTATTTTTATACGGACGATGCGACAACGTGAAAAATACACGTTTCATGACGTCATGACATGTTTAAATAACGTTGCATGAATTTGTAGCTTTTGAAGGTTATCCCTAGACCAAAACATTCCATTATGTAACTGAATGCCAAATCGTATATAGATATAGGGCTTTAACTGAACCATGGTAGTTTAGCTAGAATGTTTGCTTTATGTTCTAAACAACACAATGATTTAATTATAAAATAATAAATGAAAATAAATACTAAGCTAATAAAATGTTAGAAACTTGGTTTTATGTGTATAAAATAAAATAAAACATAAAATCTATATATCATTCGAAATTAAATATATACTCGACATCACTATACACAATATGCTGACAATCCTTAAACTTTATTTTCACAAAGGTATACAGATATCTACTCGGATGACTATGTACAAGATGACATTCGTTCAACTTCCTCTTCACGCGTTTAAAGGGCGTATGGCTCTATTCCTTGAGACCATAAAATAGACGGAATAGGTCTAAAAGCACACATTAATGTAACACGGGTGTACATAAAGTCATTTAAATTAAGTTCGTAAAATATTGTTGGTGAATCAGTCACCACTAATCACCCCCGCGTGCTCTTGTAAGATATGTTTTCTTTATTCTTTGCTCATTACAGATTGCGCCCGACACCATAGAATACACGACGTGTGTACTGATTATAAAGTGTTCTTTGTTTCTTAAATATTGGATATTAGGATCCCATCTTTTCACGACAAGATAATAACATGAACATTAATTGAAATGGGCCAATTCGTATTATTAATTTCAAATATTAGAGAAAATATTGAGTCAGAGGTTTAGCTCCTTTAAACAATCAGCCTCCGGGTTAATTATTCGTGGTTCCACTCCCCTCTTTATTAACCACAGCGTATTGATCTCCACTGGGTCCTATTTTAAATTGTTTCCCAGCTTCATTCTTGTTCTTCTTTCCCTCTTTATTAACAACAGCGTATTGATCTCCACTAGGTTCTATTTTAAATTGTTTCCCAGCTTCATTACTGTTCTTCCTTCCCTCTTTATTAACAACAGCGTATTTATCTCCCTTTGGTCCTATTTTAAATTGTTTATCATTATTGATCATCTTCCCGCCTTTATTAACAACAGCGTAATTATCTCCCTTTGGTCCAGTCTTAAATTTCCCATTCGCGGTTTTGTTCGCCTCCGATTTGTTAACCTGGGCGTATTCCGCCATAACCGGAAGTTTTGCTTTTAGTTTATAATCAACCACCACGTCATCAGTGACACCCTCAGAACTAATATACATATCATTTTCTAGATATTCCATCCCTTGGTTACCGTTGTTAGGTTTAATTATATCATTATCAATACTGGTATATGGATCATTCTCCTGATTAACCAATTCATTAATCTGTTCAGGTTGGTGAGTTATTTCCCCTGATCTGTTATCTGGGATGTTCTGGTAAGGATGAACATCAGTCTCTACAGATTCTGGACTTTCATGGCATTTGTCTTTTCTCCGTTTACGTATTACACTATAATTGAAAACAAGAAATATAACATACTCTAGAACGGTACCGCTATATATTGTAAATGGGGTAAATGTTGAATTATCGCACTCAGATATAGAACGGCACAGTTAAATATTGTAAACGGAGCAGTCAGACCCTGACCTAGAATTCATTTATTACAAATATAAGATATTTTAACTTACCATACAATTATGATAATGATGACGATTATTGCAGTTATTCCTCCAACAGATCCACCAATAATAACACCTACTGTAAAATATAATTTATATACAATTGTATTGTAAACACATAAAATATTCTGGCAGACTGATTTAACCCGAAAGTCTAAATGCTATCTGGGCACACCTACATGTACTTTTTGTCAAACAGGGAAACGCCCCATAATTAACTTAAATATTGTTTGTACCGGGAAAGGTAATGGATCTGATTGTTGTAAGAACACACAATGATCTATGTCTAGCATTATAGCCATTATTATAGCTGTTTTTGACATTTTGCTCTACGTTTGCATTTAAGGCAGTAGGTGTTGTCACGCCTTTCTATTCAAACGATATAAAATTCACTGCGGGAAAAGAGATTCGAAAGTGTCATATAAATATAAACCTACATTTACTTTTAACAATATCACCATTTTCACCTGTAGATGTTAAGTTTGTGTTTTGATCAGTGACCCTTTCATCAATGGTCGTCTGTGTTGATTTTGGTACCACTGTATCTGACATAATCTCCGTAGCTGTTGATGGTATCATTCCATTTATATTTGGTTTATCACACACAAGGCTCATATTTAATTCTATTGTAACAGATTATAAACAAATATGTTTTAAATTTATAACATAATTTACTCACATACTAAGATGTACATTATTTAAAAGTCATGGATAACACTGGCCAAAGGCTATGTAACTATAATGATGGATGTCGTTTATCTCGAAAGATAAGATCTCTCACTCTTTTCCTGATGCTGTTTCTCAACAATTTATTTTAGTAGATAGACCCCCCCCACCCTCATGCCAAAATTCCTGACGCAATGGCCCGAGAAATTCCTCTCTAGCCAGTGCTTTATTGAGTCTTTGACGGAGCGTGTCCATTCTCATCGTCCAATCAAATCTCTCCTGGGTAAAATATAGGGAATTTTCATGACTTACCCGGAGTGGCCTACCTTTAAATATTATATAATATTTATCTATTTTTGTAAAGAAACTCCATGAATTATTTTATTTTATCAAAAAAGCACATGTCGTATTTCTATCCAGTTTGTTGAAACACAATACGTAACATGACAGCCCTTCTCTTTGATCTGCTGTGTGGTCCAAGAGATGATAAAAAGATTCTGCGTGCAAATGTTTACTTTGTAACTATTTTGGATAGCCTCGTTTATCACACAATTAGTTCCTCTGCAATATTCTGTTATGTACAAGTTAATTGAGCGTAATACATTTCGTGCGTTATGACGTTATATAGCTGCGTTTGTCACCATACACTTTAAAATAACATGAGTTGTCAAGATATATGTTAGATAGTTTTACAATGCATCGTCAGATTCATGTACAAGGTAGCTTGACATTACAGGGTTTCGTTCATTCGAGATATAAGGACAATTGGTCCAAATGTTATCACACACATTACATGTGTTGATTAATATGATGTCTTATAATTAACTCTGTACTTATAGCAATCATTACAAATGATCACATTTCTATCAAAATCGTGATTTATTTACTTTCCTTACCTGGTACTGTGGAAATCTTGAAACAGAATTCAAAACCACTAGTTGAATTTCTATCACCTTCCACTAGTGTTATCTGTAAATTATCGTGGACGGTAACATTAAAAGCATACATAAGGCTGTAATCACGACAGCGATACCTCTTGGTAGTTGAATTATGTATAATGTTTACTGCATTCTGGCACCCTCCTGGGATGTTTGCTGTGACATTGATAGCTATAGGTCCACCAACATAGGACGAATCGTTAAACGTCAGAATACAATAACAACCGGCAACTTGTTCTCCAGGCTGTAAACCAGCTAACCTGAATGTACTTCCTTGTAGGTCTACTGCACCGCATATAGAACTACTGGAACCTGGAGCTATAATAATAGATTATATTAGATCATGATTTTAAAGAAGTATAATGTCACGCCCCCTTTAAAGGACAATGTTGGTGTCCTTATATGTGATAGGACTGATTAAGCACAATCCAAATATAATTTTAACGCAGAGATCACTGTTACTGTAGATGCGTAATCAAGATTTGTAGAGATGGGAAATGAAGCCAAACAAAAAAGGAGGAAAACACGAGCGATCCTTACAGGCTGAAGTAGAGAGCTATATTGGTGGACAGAAACATTGTCCTTTCATAAAGGATTATCATATTTATCTAATTTACATAATTGTTATGAACATTATGATACTTTGATATATTACCAATTGGACTATTACATCAACATTGGCGTGCACGTACAACAACCATTGACAGTTCGTATTCGAAATAAGAGTAGATCTTAGTGCCGCAAAATGTCCCTAATAGCACACTTCGTGGTGCATGCCCATCAGCAAAAATAACCTGGACTTTATATAGCTGCCGTCGGCAAAAATAACCTGGACTTATTCCCAAGGTTTTATTTCACAGCACATAATACCTCATCTCGCTTGAGGATTTCACATAGCTAACATGATATTGAGTACGTTATATATGGTGTCAGATATTTAAGGTACATAATTATTTACCTGGGCAATTTGTTCCTTCTGAAAAAGGTAAAAGGGGACATTTACAATATTAATATACTAAAATGTGCAATATTTGTGTAATTAAATACATATGTTATACTATAGGAGTTATTTTAGTTCTATGTAAGGTGCTCTGTTTAATATATTGAAGTGGTTAAACAAATGGGTGACAACGAGAAATGGACTAAGTAGGTATTTTGCTAGATTCAACTTTCTTAGACTAACTCACTGACATTTATGTCAGTATCCGTTTCTGGAAAGATGTTACTATCGTCCAGACATCTGGTACACAGATCAGTACAATTAAATAGAATACTGTTGACGTAAAACGGTGACCATACGAAACACTTGGCCAAAAATAGCAATTGTCCCGCACTAATAGCTTACGCATCTATACTTGCTATATAAGAAGAGCGGGGTTATAAATTTTCCTTCAGACATCATTCGAAGATCGTAGGTGAACAATCATACCCACAGCCTCCTCGGCTTACAGACCGGGGGAGATCGCCATGTAGATTTAGAAAGAAGAACGCAATGCCGCAAAACCCAAGCTAGGGGATAGATAACATATATTTAGCTTATATTTAATGTCATAGCTGTGTATGTAGTTTCCTGTATATAACCATTGTATTATGGATGTTATAAACCCCCAAAGTGTTCCGGAGTGAATTGATTCTTGAAGTTTTATACCAGGATAGCCACATCTGTCCCTGTAGTGTCACATATAGATAAAAACAATATTGAGATACAACCGAATTTATGTTCAACCTCTTAAGCCAAATATGAAAATATATTTAGTGAAGAAACAGACCTGCTGTAAATCTGTGGTAACCAATATGATCGTATACACCTTACCTCAAAATAGGACAATGTATTACTCATATAAAGATGAAGTACTCACCTTCAATAACCCTACTTTTAAGTCCTGCTAACATCATTAAACAGACAAGGGAATACAAATATATTGGTAATGCCTTCTGTTCCATTTTAATATAAGATAGAGCTTTATACAGGTACTGTCTTCTTATCCATAGAGCCTTTATACGACACATTCACATTGATTCATCTAACCTACAAATTCATATTTTATTTTATTGTAAAAATGAAGAGTAAAGAAATAGACGACTTTGTAAAAGTAAGACGTGAAGTGATGGTCTGTACTCTTTTATGATAATTCAACAAGTAGAAATACAAATTATAATTAAACAGACAGGAGAATGTAGCAGTAACTCACCATATTTACATAACTTAGGTGATATTATCTTTCCGGGTTTCTCACTTAATGACCACGCCCCTTCACACGAAAATAGCACTGTATATTATTTAATAACCCGTAATATGTTTATACTTACTTGTCTTAAGAAGTAAATATGATCCCCACTCATTCGTAAGATATCAAAACTTTTAAATCCTCCCTTGATCAACAATATGAATGTTGTATATATTTACACTGACAGGTAAACATCCTGGTCCGGTAAAAGTATGTCATAATTTTAATGATAGCCAGATAATAGTAACCAGTAGTTTTAAACAGATATATAAATAGATAACAAAACATGTGGCCTGCTGAACAACTCTAAGCGCCGATTGTTGAAGTCATTGATGGGTTATGTACATTGCTAATCAGATAAGCTTCATTACTAGAGAGTTGGCGATTAATGATTTCGTTTTTATTTGGAATGTAAAATATGAATTACGCTTTGCTTTGTTTTCTTTCTGACGTAAGGCGGTGGTGAAGAAAATATGATTAAATTACAGTGTAGTGTAAAAATCATAAAATAAAATCCAATCGAAATTGTAATCTAATTTAATTTAAACTAGCTAAATTGCTAATATTTGGGACCTAGAATGTGACAATTATGAACGATGTTCACTGAGTGACAATCAGTTATGTTCGGCGAAATACGACAGAAGTCTCAATCGAACGGCAATCTCTAGCGTCTGGTTATCCCATTCTAAACCGAAAATATTAATTGCGCATGCTCTCCAGGTAAGAATATGAATCACCGTTTTACATGACTTGTGGAATATGCCTAGCCTCGCTCTTCCAGTCCCGTGTTACAAATGGTGCTTAAATGCATTATGGCACAGGAATCAATGGTAAAATGTTTATTTTGTCTTGAATATTGGATATCCGGTAAGATCACAACATCAATGTTGATTCAACTGACAAATAATTCGTGATTTCAATGTCGAAGACTTTTGGTAATATTGAGTTAGAGACGTAACTACTTTAAACTATAGTTATTCACGCCAAGACTTTAATAGCCATTATCAGCCACTAGTACATTCTACAGTAGATATCGCTTGTGTGATAAATTTCATAATCTCCTTAGGAGATAACGCTTTACATGAATTTGATTGGTCAATTAAAAAGAAAATACTTTTTTTTATTTCCAAAGAACAATTCAGTTTTTATTATAAGTAACTTCTTTTTTAAAATTAAAAATGAACTATTGAACTATGTTTATTTAATTGATGGAAACACAGGGTCAATATAAAGGACTTTGCAATGGTTTACTTTCTGTCAAAAAACGATGTATCACTACGCCCTAATGTAATGAGGTTCAGTAAGAGTGAAATCTATAGCAAAGAATTATATTTATTTATTTGTGTATGTAAGAAAAGGATTGGGTGATAAATAAAATCTCAAAGTCGTCGACGAGTGTTGATATTTTTTGATATCAAAAAAGACTCTATATTTATCAAGACACCATGGACTTAAACTGCTACATTCGTGAATAACGGTTTCGATAATCAAAACAAGAGCGAGGTAAATCATAGAGCATGAATATTACACTATTGAATAATGGATATAAAAGATGGGGTAAATTAGGTGTTTCTATAAATATGCACGTCTCTTTATGTACATGCTTATCCTTGCACGGATAATTGTCATTTTATTATTTTGAGAACAATTTTATCCAATTTGCATATTTTCCCTCTTCATTTGTATTTTCAGTCGTTTTAATATCAATGAATACAATCAGTCATGCCTTGGTTTAATCTTACATGGTGCACAATTTCACTTGTAAAGAATAGTGAGGTACGTTTTAAAGCTTGAATTAAACCGTGGAATATTTGAATTACAAATAACAATAGAGACACCATGATAGATATAACTTTATATATAGTAACACCTGTACACGGTAATATTATAGTTAGGTACATAATATAGGAGTATAGTTTACAGTAATATAAGCACATGTCAAAATATAAAATAAATAAATAATATCACACAAAGAAATGCGCAAATGTTGCATAGACTATTTTACATAGTATTTTGCAAACTATGTCACGTTCGATGCTGTTTCCCATTTTAGCACTGCTTCTCGCCATTCAGCCTGACGAACAGCCAGTCGTTTATATCAACTTAAAATACGTCATCCTTTGTGTAATGGTAATATATAGATATAGCCTTCGTGCTAACGCACTCGTGCAGTTTCAATATATTACTTAATATCTTCCCCTCGACCATTAAACCATACACAATGGTCTCTATCACCAAATTGGGCACGCAGTGGCGATAAGAAACGACTTCATAATGATGGATGCTAGGTAGACATGTTCGATGTTCATGCTAAACATGTTGTGTCAATGAAGAAGATATTTTTCGACTTAATAATAGGAATAAGATGAAATCAAATTTTAATTTACTCTGAACAAATAAAGAAATGGGATTATGCTTTGTATTAATTTAGAAATCACCTGAATAGAAGTTAGAAATTAGCCGATAGCACGGCATTAATAAATTTAGAATTTCAAATCTACCATACCGCCATACAAAACACGTCATTACGTTTCTGAACCCTAGACGGTATACAGTTATAGTATAGGGCTTTGCATGAACCATGATAATTTTGCTAGAATGTCTCGTTGCGTGAATTTTTACGCTTTAAACAATACATATTTTAATTGTAAAATAATGAATTGAAATAAATACCAGGCTTATAAAATGTTAGAAACCAGGGTCATGTTTCAAAAATTTTTAACTAAGATAAAATCCAAATTTTAATAATTTGATTGGATAATATTAGATTGATTTTAGTGCTTGGCCAATCAAAATTGAAGTATCTACTATCGTTAAAATTTCGTGAAACAGGCCCCTGGTTTTATGTTCATTTAATCTGAATATAAAATACAACATTAAATCTATATTACATTAGAAAAGTAAATACTCGACATCACTATACACAATATGCTGACAATCTTTAAATATACCTGCCAATGTACAAACTGTGTGATTTGATGATATATGTGGACTAAAAACATAATCAAACTAATTAATCCATCAAAACTTTACTTCAAATCACCCTCAAAACATTGTATTCGCGAGGAAATACCCTAAACTATAAAAAATCGATTAAAAAAAGTCATGTTTGTGTCATATGACTTCGCTGTCGCCCTAACTAGCAACGGGTGCCAAGCCGAGGTGAATTTATTGCATATAAAAGACGATGTTGTCTTTAATCGCTGTCCATTTACCATAAATATCGACGCCTAAGTAAATTCTCGGATTATGCCCCGCCCACATATTTTCCCGCCGTTTTATCCACGTCAGCTCACAATCGAGTTAATAACATATACACCAAGAGCTCCCTAACGCAAAGAGACCAGACAATCTACGCGTGCGAACTTTGACCTCTTCTCATTTTAGTCCTGTATGCGCTCCATGGGTGTTTATCAGAGAATCCAGTATTTTTGTAATAAGAATGGGTGTCTCTATTTTCCATATATACCAAAATTGCCATACTTTTATTGGAAATATTGAATAACCACCCGTATTATGAAACTTTATTACACGTGTTCACTATGCACAAGATAGCAATCGTTAAACTTTATTTTCACATGTTTGTGGTTCCTTTTGAATTTGGTTCTAATTAGATGACAGTGAAGGAACTCGGAGTATATATTTATTATATATTATATGTCTCTCTCGGCTATTATTCTAGATATATTTAATTGACGCGTATACAATCTCCCTGATTATGTCTGTCTACTACATCGTTAACACTGTTCATCACGTGCATTTTGCATACCGATAGTATATTGGCCAATCACGCTATTTTACCGAGATTTCGCCTAATAGTTTGGATGCAGCTATGGCGGGTGTGGCGCCAGGAAGGGTAAGCTTACTCTTCCGAACACCTGTTACCACTGTTTGTCGTGTATTTTGTACACGGTGAGCAGTTCATTTGCTGATTACACTATTTTGTCTGATTACACTATTTTGCCTATACCGTATGTTTTGGGAACACAACCGGTGTAGGCTGTCATAGATAGTCCATTGGCCAACCACGCTATTTTACCGAGATTTCGCCTAATAGTTTGGATGCAGCTATGGCGGGTGTGGCGCCAGGCAGGGTAAGCTTACTCTTCCGGACACCTGTTACCACTGTTTGTCGTGTATTTTTTACACGGTGAAGAGTCCATATGCTGATTACACTATTTTGCCTTATTACACTATTTTGCCTATACCGTTTTTTTAGGACTTCGAATTTTGTCTAATGGTTTGGATTGTTCGTACTTGGTTTTATTTTATTGGAACATTTAATTGAGGCAGAATTTTTAAATTAGGTGAATGTCTTGACTGAGTTCATTGCTAAAGTTAAGCAGTTCTAAGCAATTTCATTAGTCGATGATAACCTTCTAACTCATGGAGATTGATGAAACTTGGAGTATAGTTCAAAACCTTGACTGAGTTCCACTGGGAACTTGTTCTGCTTAGTCTATAGATAACCAGTTTTATTGATCAGGTTTATTGAGGTTGTCATCCGACTCTACTCCTTGCCACGTACAAGCGGGGAACCAAACCAGACCCTATGATCCAATGCGCACGCATTCTCGCCCATCCGCACACCCCTCGTGTAAACGGACTTTCCTGTGGTACATATAACTGCTTGCGGCGTGGGCAATGTAAACCGGGTAAATGTTGAATTGTATCTAATCTTTAAGTGGCATTTAGTGATCGGGAAACACATTAACATAACACAGTTTTAATGGGATACAATCACTAGTTTTATTCTAAAAGCACAACGTTTCGGCAAGTATCCTTTTATCGTTATCAAGCACAATTGTACCTTTAGAATAAAACTAGTGATTGCATCCCATAAAAACTGGGTTCTGTTATTGAATTGTATCGCCCACAGATCCGGACCTAGAATTCATTTATTAAAGAAATTTATTATAAGAAATTTAAACTTACCACACAATTATGATGATGATGACGATTATTACAGTTATTCCTCCAACAGATCCACCAATAATAACACCTACTGTAAAATATCATTTATATCCAATTGTATTATAAACACACAACATAACCGACTGGCCTAACCGGAGAGGTTGTTATTTAAGCCCAACTTACGATTTCCTCATCTAGACTAATTATATCAGAGCAAATATTTTAACACCTACTTGTTTTCATCAAGGGAAACGCCCCAGAATTAACTTTTGTAATACCTCCCGTAAGCAGGAAAGGCGAT